AACTGAACATATTCGCACAAACTTCCGCTTGCGATTTTGAAATGCATTTTGTTGCATTCCCTGTGCGTGCTCTATGTTGCGAAGAACCTACAAAAAAATTAATAAATTACATTCTCCACATCGCTAAATATACAGTGTAACAGTGACATTAGTTACAAATAAAGCAGAATCATAGCAAAGAAAATACATAGATCAGCCTCTGCCTATGTCTAATTCTGAGAAATTTACCACTTCATTAACCTTTATTATTCAAAAACAAACCGTTTCATTGAGACGTTTCATTTGATTCACTCTGGTGCCGATGTCATCTTCTGGGTCAGTAACTTCAAAATCATCTCCCATGGGACAGGCATTCATGACCTCTGGCAGACGTGGGTGTCGATTGAAGAGCAGGAAGTATGGACTGTGTCTAGTGGAGTACTGATAACATAGGAAGCTTCCCATTTACTATCAAATGTGTATTAAATGAAAAACTCCACCCTTAACTGAATTGATGAATTTATTTAATATTTAATGTTTTCCCGTCGACATCTAACTGTAGATATAATAAATATAATAAGTAAACGTGTTAAGACCTGCTTTGCAGTGTTGATACCGTACACCACAGCAGGAAGGTGGAGGTCCCAGTCATTGTGGTTGTCATTTACATACTTTCTGAGAGCACGCTTGATGTTTTGATTGGTTCTCTCATCCTGTACATATCAATGCATTTATAAAGTTGATGAATAACCAGCCCAGGCTCATATGGACCATATGGATCTGGTTAAGTGATGCAAACTTCAGAATTTATTAGTTTACAAATCATGCACTATGGTAAAAAGGGTTTTGAGGTCATAACATAATATTGTACAAGGAGCCACGTGAAAACAAGTCATTTGATCCATAATCTGCCCTTGTATTCATAATTGTGTATAAACATGATTAAAAGTGCTTGCTATTTTACTGCCTCTAGTGTTAATTTCTGTTGGAAACTGCAGTGACGTGTATAAATATTGCCACAGGAACGTTTTTCTAATGAGCCTGTGTTGTGAATAACCGTAAGACAACAATAGTTCTTCCAGGACAGATATCATGTATAAGAGTTACCTGTCCGTTGGTCTGGGGATGGTAAGCACTGGAGACAGCGTGTTTAATGTTCAGCGCACTGAAAATGCTGCTGTTGAGCTGCAGAGGGATCATCAGTTAAATTTGCAAGACTAGAGTACGGTAATTGCAGACAACAACAACATATATGTTGAGAGTGACTAGAGTAGGGGGAAAACAATTAAACCTTTACAAAACTTCACCTTGTTGACAAACTCCTTCCCTTGGTCGGTAATTATTTTTCTGACCGTGCCGAACAAGTACAACTTTTTGATTATTTTTGCAGACACCTCAGCTGCTGTCTTAGATTGCAGGGGCGCTGCAATCACCCACTTAGTGTACAGGTCTGTCATGGTAAGGACATACTTCTTGTTGCGTGCCGTTTCTGGCAGTGGTCCAATCAGATCCAAACCAACCACCTCCCAAGCTTCTTTTACCTGCATGCCACAAAATTAGTATTAGTCAAATGCTGGTAAAACTGTACACAAGCTTGAGACTAGCTTGTTAGTTTCATCAGTATGCTAAAACATTGTAAGCAGTACCTTAATGGAATGCAAAACTGGCACAACAGTCTTGATGGGGTCATTCAGCTGGCAGCGGTGACAACATCTGACCTAAAAAGCAACACATTTTTTCAACAAATTGTCTAGAAAAATAGCCAGTTGATGAGAGGCGGTATTAACATTAAGTGACATGGCATCTGTGGCTTTAATATGTTAAGTCCATATGCTACTGCAGTTGATACAAGTTGGTGATAATACAGTAGTCAACATTTTAAGTGGATAAAGACCTTTCATTAAAGTTATATGACTTTTGAACAATACTCATTCTTGTCTTAGGACAACTTCGATTAACTTTTTTGATCCACATCAAATATAACTTTTAAAACAAGGAGGTATCAAACAAAGGTGGCAAAGGTAGACACAATCTTAAGTATAGATATAAGATACCCATTAAGTTTGTAAAATTACCCATTCTTTCACATCCTGGATAATTGTAGACCAATAGTAGCCAGCAATAACCCGGTTTTGAGTGCCTCTGACACCACTATGATTGCCAGTCCCAGGATTATTGTGGCACTCCGTGAGAACAGACCTCTTCTTTTCCTCTGACAGGACAACTAGCCGCATATACTGCATACTGGGGCCGATGTAGAAGAGTCTGTCGTCTGTTTTAAAAGGAAAAAAGAAAACGTCTGAAAGAGTTGAAGTTCAAAGTAAATAGAAAAATATCATATTACTATCTGATATCTGACAGGTTTAACTACATTAAAGTCACGTATTAATACACAGATATGGGAGCTGAACAAGTAAAACAACTCAAATTTAAACAATTAAAATAACTTGATATTTTAAACTAATTTGTCCATTTAGCACATGAGGTTGTACCAGTCAGTCAGTTCTCTTCTATTTTTCATTATAAAATCTTCGGTTCTTTCTTACCCCCGGTTTCACACAGACAAGGCCCAGAGTGTAAAATGCATATTGAGCTGTTTTAACTAAAAGCAACACCGTGACTGATACATCTTAAAATATGTCAGTGCCATTTTTTGTACACACGAGTAATGTTTTTTTTTTCTAAAGCATGTTTATAAAAGCTGGCAGTAACGATACCCTCATTTCACAATTCGATACATATCACGATACTGAACTCACGATACGATATTATTGCGATACTCCCAAGAAATATTATAAAAGGTTAACACAAAATGCACTGTTGATTAAAATGCTAACTTTGATATTACATTGTGGGTTTAAATTAATAGGCTTGGAATTGGTGCTTGTAACCCAAGGATGTTTCCACCAGAATAAACATATTCATGATTCTGAAGCTGAAAATACTTAATTATTTTAGACTAATATAGCCTACTTAACATTCTGGTAACTTAAGACGTTTGGCATTGATTATCAGGACCCACAAATATTCCCCATTTATTACACATTATAATCAACATTATATAGTAGTTTAATGTAGTACTTACACAAAAACTCTGAAAACATCAAATTTCTTCCTCACACAGTAATTTTTATTTTGGGTGAACTATCCACGATACATATTGCATTTTTGTATTACGAAATATTGTGACACGATATATTGTTACACAACACAATTGAACTAAGGCATAATCCTGGATTAGTCTAAGCCTTACTTGTCATAGTTACCTTTGATGATAAAATTCGCAGACGACCGTTTCACTTTCCGACGCTCAGCGGGATTGTCAGGCATTTCTCCTTTTAAGAGAAATTCTTGAACTTTCACATAAAATGCAAAAGAATCCATGTTTTTTTCGCACATGCAGGACAGTACAGTACAAATCGTGCCAGTAAAATTCGGATCGAGTAGTGACAGTGAAGTTGTCGTAAAAACATTGATGATGACAGGAAGTGGCGGAAAAACTTCGTTCTCGCACATGCGCAGTACAGATCGTGTAACCGGTACGGATCGAGTAGCGACACTCATCATGCTTCTTACAGGGCTTTCAACCGAGCAGGTCCTTCAACAAATTTCAGAAACAGGCATAGAAGTGACCGACGTCGAAGCCCAGAGATTCAGAGGTAAGTTTGTATTTAAATGCCATTTTAGTTGACCAAATGTTTGTGGTAGCTAATGTTAACGGGCTAATGTTTGCCCCTCCCGCCACCCCCGTCAAATTATATGTCAAAGTGGATGAAACGTGGAATGTTACAGAATTTTTCCTGGTCAGGTCATGCTTTTTAATATGAATATTATAAAATATTAGAATTGCAGAAGACTTTTCAGAACTTTGAACTATGACCGAGGTTTGTGCATATGCTCCAGTTGGCCAGTCCCGCCACTCGGCAGCCATCTTGTTAACGTCTCCGGTCAGTTATTTCCATAGACAGTAAAACAGGTTATTTCGGACTAACAAAATGCCTAACTTAAAGGGCTTTAACTTACAGTGCAGTTTGTTTGGATTACTTTTTAGTCAAGCGCACAAATTTTTCATATCCCTCTGTTTACTTTCTCTCAGATAATGATGTGGATGGTGAAACAGTTGACTGTGGCCTCACAGAGACTATGGTTGCATACCTGTTTCAAGGATCTTTTAAGAAGCAGGCCAAATTCAACCAGTTTTTATGCAAGCTGAAAGAGCCAGTAGTAACTCTGACATTAGAGCCTGTTCCTCCAGAGGAATGCCAGCAATCTAGTTCAGCTATACCAAGGTTAGTGAATGTATGATGTTTTCAAAGGATCTTCTAAGTTTCATCTTAGCTGTAGTGACCACCCAGCTAACACAGTACGTTGTGACGACGTCGTCAGTTAGTCGTCATTTGGTCAGCGCGACATTACTTTATGACAACGTTGTGAGGACGTCGTGGTAAAGTTCCATTTTTTATAATCTTAGCTAACGTTCCAGAAACGTCGTGGGCACGTCTTCAAAAGACGTCGCTAGTTTATCCCATGGAGAACGTTGTGAGGACGTCGTGGAAAGTTCCATTTTTTTATAATCTTGGCTAACGTTCCAGAAACGTCGTGGGCACGTCCTCAAAAGACGTCGCTAGTTTATCCCATGTAAAACGTTGTAAAGATGTGGTCAACTGGTCACCAGATAATTTAATAAAATCGTTGATGAATTAATTACATTTCCCATATAATATCCAAATGGCATATATCACTAGGATAATACTTGTAACGCAATTTTCTGGAAAGTTATCTGGAGACCAGTTGACCACGTCTCTACAACGTTCTCCATGGGATAAACTAGCGACGTCTTTTGAGGACGTGCCCACGACGTTTCTGGAACGTTAGCCAAGATTATAAAATATGGAACTTTTCCACGACGTCCTCACAACGTGTCCTAATGACTAAATAAAACAATGCAACTGCACAAACAGGCTTTGCATTTAAAAAAAAAAATTAAAATAGGAAACATTTCCCCCAGCATTTAAACCAACCAGACAAACCACACTAACGCCATCAAGACCTGAAGAGCATCACATTCTTGATGCATCATCAAGACCAGCGCCTCCTAGAGACATCCAGAAGAATGGTAAATGCAAAACATAATTTGAAACTTAGTTTTTACCTTTATTTGAATGAATCAATCTTGATTCTCCCAGATCACCTCCTGAGCCTACTCACTCAGAGAATCATCAGCATAGAGAGTGAGATGAAGGCGATGAGGAGCTCAACAGCAGCCCTGTATGAACTCTATGCTCGTGCCCTGGGGGATGGGACTAGTCAGCGAGTGGAGGAGATGAGCCTTGATGTGTGTGGCACTATGGAGGAACTCCTCTCTCTCGAAGAAAAAATGAAAGAGGAGACATTTCGGAATAGAGTGGTATGTTAATAGTGAACTATCCGTCAAATGCCAAAAAAAGTGTTAGAATTAAGTTAAATTACAAAAATAACAAAGTTAAATAACAAAAGTTATTACCATTTTGAAAATGTATTCCATCTTGTAGACACACCATTTAAGTCTTGTTGGAGGTCCAAACCCTGGGGAAAACACCCGGCGGGTGATGCGGGCACTGGCCTCCTACAGTGTGTGGAAGGAGTTTAGTCTGAAGGGGAAGAAAGGGAAGAGACCACTGCAAAACTTGAACATTATGAAGGTCATAAAAAGTAAGTCCTATATGTTAGTGACACAAAAAAACTGTATTACCAGTACTTTTTTTAACCATTGCTGCATAGTTAAGGAATTTAATATTACAGAGGCAGTGATGATGTCCAATCCTAGAATCCAGCAAGCAACAGTGGAGGACATTGTGGCAGACACACTTAAGCATGCTCCAGCAAGGTGTCAGAATGTAAGCTCCTTTGGTGGTTTTCTGTAAAATAGTTATTATCATTATAATCTAATTACATAATTTAAAAAAAGGGAGATGACATGTTCAGTTGACTTAGTACTTTTCTTTTACTAAAAGTAGAAACAATGTGAAGTTGACCGTTTAGTCACTGGTTTGATTTACTTAAAGTTACACAAACAAAGAACATCTGACTGTACATGTGAGTGGAACATTTCACAGTCTGTCATTTAGGTCAGTTAGGCTTGGGGTAATTTTCAATTTTAACTATTCCAATTCCGCTCAGTCGAACCTAATTAACGGTAAGTTAGGTAAAACAAAAGTTTGGATCTCGTGCTATAAGCTAACATGGTTAGCGCATCTCACCTCGTCATAATTTACATATAGTTGACATCTGACAATCCTGCAGCTGGAGTTTTTTCTTATATCGTTCAAGAACTGCCGAACGTCCTTCTTCACTTAGTTTAATGGCGGGTTGCGAACCAACATCATAGGTGCATGTCGCCACCTACTGTCATGAAGTGTGAAGAGAACTGGTTCTCACGTAATCCCTATATTTTGTAATCCACTAATCCTAATAAACTCACTATTGCATTTATTTGTTTCCTGCATTTTAACCATTTAGTAAATACAATTACTGGATTTATAGTATATTTATAGTTATCTTACATGATTAATATAATGAAACCATCATATTTTAAATAAATTATATTGACCAGCTGAATCTAACATTTAATTTCAACAAATGTAAAAGTCAAATGAAAAAAATTATGTGCAATTAATTGTATAAAACTGAAATACTTTTAATTTTGCAGCAGCAGGACCAGAGAAAAGGTGTGCAGCAGCATGATGAAGATGATGAAACACTCCTACTTTTTGAAGACGAATAAGACTTTTTGATTTTTTTTGTTGTTGAAATTTTCATATTTTTTCCTTAAAGTAAGATCAAATTAATTAAAATTAATGTATATGCCAAATTTTCACTTATCAATAACTTGTTAACTTTAAATATATATATATATATATATATATATATATATATGTTAAAAATTATATGGTAATTATTTATTATCTTACTGTGGAAAATGTCAATAACTAACTGCTGATTATTAAATGATATAAATGTTTTCTAGTTGATTGATTCTTGAGGCACACATGTGTGTATTGTAACACTGGAACAGGTAACACTGAATAAATGCTGATTAAATGTATGCAGTGTTTTTTGTTGTTGTTGTTGTTTTTACGTGGTATTTTGATCGTTGTTACGACTAAAACGGTCCTTTGATGTTACGTCCTCACAACATACCAGTTAGGTCATTGAGACGTATCATCACGTTCTTGCGACGTACCACAATAACGTCGCCACGACGAATACAGGAATCACAAAGTTACGTTGCTGGAACGTTATTTGGCACGTCACTACGACTAATATGGTCCTTTGATGTTACGTCCTCGCAACATGCCAGTTTGGTCATTAAGACGTACTCATCACGTTCTTGCGACGTACACTATAACGTCGCCACGACGATTATGGGAATCACAAAGTTACGTTGCTGGAACGTTATGTGGTACGTCGCTACGACGAATATGGGCCGGTCCTGTTACGTCTTCACAACGTAACTGTGTTAGCTGGGCAACTTGAAGCTTAAGAACACTAGTACCATAACTTTTGTTCTAGTAATTATTGTCCTCAAAACAGTAAATATTTTGGGCAGACATTGCTTTTTTTAAGGCTAGTTAACTGCATTTTCATACCTGACCTGTTGCAAGGATTTAAGATATGTTCAAAGACTGCAGGCCTGCACTTTATGTATTGTTTGGTAACCTATTAATTGGAAGGGTTTTAGCAATGTAAATTGTTTGTTAAATTGATTTACACCTAAAATTAAAAGACAAAAATTGCTATATTACAGGAATGGAACTAATGTGAGACTGCCTGCTAGTTTTGACATTCCAGCATTCCCCAGACACCTACAAACGAAGCTGGACAACAAAGAACCATGCCAGAGAAATCCAAAGGATAGACACATAATGATCCGGGTTCTCTATGAGGCTGTGGCACTATACACAATGTACGTAAGTGTGTTGAGCTAAGGCTAATCTATTTCCATTTAATATTTCATCTGATTCTAGGAAACCACTATAAATAGTTAAGTCTTTGTAGAGCATATTTGCCCCATGAAACAAAATTCATGCTGACAAAAATAAATGGATGGTGTTTGTGCTGGTGCATGATTATTTCAAATAGTTGGCCTTCAATTGATTTACATTTCTTCTCTTGTAGGTATCCCACAACTTCAGAATATGTGCAAGTTGTAAAGATGCTGATTGCGAAAATATCCTTTCCTGAAGGATCTCGAGGGAAATGGTTATGTAAGTGCATTTGCAAATAACGGTAACACTTAACAATAAGGTTAATTTATTAAACATTAGTTAATGTATTAACTAACATGAACTAACCATGAGCAATACTTTTGTTACTGTTTTTGTTAATCTTTGTTAACGTTAGTTAATACCAATCCAGCTGTTCATCGTTTGTTCATGTTAGTTCACAGTGCATTAACTAATGTTAACAAGATTTTAATAAAGTATTAGTAAATGTTGAAATTAACATTAGCAAAGATTAACAAATGCTGAAGAAGTATTGTTCATTCTTAGTTAATGTTAACTAATGTAGTTAACTAATGAACCTTATTGTAAAGTGTTACCCAAATAACTATACACAGTATTTTTAACATGAGGTATTACATCTTCCCAATGTTATGTGCAGGTCTGTCATAAAAGAAAAACGAAGCGACATTTAGTATTATCTTCAATCTAAATAGGAATAACACTTGATCTGTTTGTTATTTAGCGCAAACAACTATGGTATAGAGCTGTCTTTGGTAATCGATATTTCTGTTTCAATTAGCACACATGGCACATGTCTCTGAGGCGTAAATTCAAGTGGGAGCGTGCACCTCTGGTTGACAACAGTGAAGTGAGAGATAGTAAGGAGAAGTTTGGCCACAAAAAATCAAAGCAACTTGTAGAAACAGTGAGGACCAGTCAAAGAAATGTCTCCAAGGTCAGTGATGCCCAGCTTGGTGCATTGGTAATAATTGAGGCTTAGTTAAATTGTAGTCACTGTTAGTTGGTTAATGTCTCTGTTGTATTTTCTTTTTCACAGTTTTGTAGTTATCAGTTATACGGTTGGTCAAGTCAGTTAAATCAGATTGATAGAAGATTGGGTCACTCAATGGAACTACACAAGACAATTTAGTGTTTAGTTTTATGTCAGATGTGTTTGTAAGTGTATCTATCTCAATTCCCATAAAGGCACCAAGTGTTCTGGGTGAGGATCCATCCTCCATTGAGGCTCATGTGAATGTCTTGCATAGCCAGTACCAGAAGATGCAACCTGACTTCAGGATTGTACGGGACCGAATGCAGCAGACATTTGCATGGCGCCAAAAGGAGATTGCTGATGGCATGACTGTAGAGGACACAGTTAAGAAGTACCCTTTCTTAAGGACACCCACCGGGGTAAGTAAAAAATATCCTACGGTCATAGTTCAAATTCTTGATGGTATATTCTTATTTACTGGTCTGTGTGAGTGTAATACATGCACCAAGTTTGATTCCCTTTCATGAAAATGAGAACTTCACCAGGAGTGTACTGCTCCGAAATGCTGTACATACAGGAGGATAACTTGATTTTAAGCTGAAAATTGTTATGAAGGATGCACAACAACATGTTTGTATTTAGTTTCATTTTGGGCCCACTTTTTAGCCAGCTGGTTTGTGGAGGAAACCAAAACAAGTGTGTGGTGTTCACCTTTCAAAATAATTTCTCAGCTTTGTGTTGCCACTCAAAATTGTGTTTTCCAGTCTGTGCTTCATTTATTTTAGAGCAGTACATTCCTGGTGAAGCTTTCATGACAGGGAAGGAGTTATTGGGTCAAACTTGGTAATGTATTGTGCCCTAATAACATTTCAGTTACATAGTGGTTTTTGCTTGTTTATTAATCATCATTAAAAATGTGACAGCGGAAATAAATTATGCGAATTTTAATGGTTTTATAGTATGAAAACTAACATGTAGTCTACACACAAATGTCACACATCTTCCATATGCCATTAAGCACTGCTGCTTAGATTAGTATCAAGCTGAATTAACTCTGTTACGGAATAAAGCTTAATGTTTTTTTTTTTTCTGTAGTTGTTTGATGAGTTGGAACATATCCATCCAGCAACAGGAAACTTGTGTCAGCGATTCAATGAAGGCTTCAAATGTATTGTACCGAAAGTGCTTCACCTAGCTCAAAGGAAATCCCCACTATTCCAGTTTTACCTGGAGACAAAAGAAGAAGCTCTTACTGAGGATCTTCCAGGTACTGATTAAATGTTAATACCTATACCACAGTGTTTCCAAGTCGTGGGCCTTAAGAATAATAACAAATCTAAAATAGAATTAAAGACATATTATGTCATAAAACAGTGTACTTCAATTGACAAGGTCTTAATTAACACAGGTTCTGTGGGGAAGTCATCTTTTATATTCAAATTGCTTACCTGAAATTGACATCTACACTGGACCAAATGCATAGTGATGACCTTAATATTTACCTGAACTGCTTCTGAATTAGAAAAATGGTGTTTAAATATCAAATGTATCTTATGTCTTGCAGATATTGACTTTAGAGCAGCCCTCATCTTTCTGCCTTACATCATCAAGGAGAACATTGATCGCTTTATTACACTTGGAGAGGTATGTCTTGCTTGCTAAAATCTCTTTTGTTCACCTCCGTAACACCAAATACACTTGACAAACTGATAGAAAGTAAATCACATTGTTAACCCCACACATATCTCCACTTAAAGGAATATTTTATCCACTTTTAAATATTTCATTACTTTTAAGTGGTATGTAAAGTGGTACTGAGGCTTATCACCTCATCATGGTTGCTACGCTGAAGACTTGCTTGGATGGTCCTATTGCTTTTTGTCT